TGCTACATGTAAATTGATATCATGTCCCCCTAGACACAGTTTATGTCACTTGTACATGTACTATGAATATTTTTATCTCTAATTGTTATACTGTCTTTTGTATTGAAATATGATGTCAAGGTGCACCAAAACCTGTTTTAAACCTGTTTAGATTTCCCTTAGAAGGTCAAAGTAGCAAACGCAAGCCTTATAAGGCGTCCTATCAGTTGTCTCCTGTTCCAGAGTCATTGCTCACTTTACACAATGATGAGAGCTGCTGCTCAAAGTGTTCATCTGATACAGTTTTGTGTGTTTTTTCGCTGCTCACCATTTTGCTTTCATGTTATAGCGACATTATATACCGTAATATAGTGTTTTTTATATTAGAAAATTTGTCACTTTTGTAAACTATTGTCCTCCTTATCTGAGATTATATTCACTTTCACTCTTCTATTCTTTTTATAGGCATAACGATATCACTTGTATTATTAATAGGATTCAACGTCGTTCAGTTCCAGTCATCGTTGTCATCATTAGCAGTCCTTCCTTCACCAGCTGTCAGTGTAGCTCAAGAGAGACAGACTGGCCCACCATTGATTAGTACTACCAGTACTATGAGTTTGCCTTCTCCGACACAGGTACCAACATCATCTTGTAACTGTCCATGTAAGTTTAGTAATGCATTGTTGGTATATAGTTATTCTTTTTACATTAAATTTTCGTTCATATCTTCAGAATACACAACTCAATTTACTGTAAGCTATATATTGCTGATTGGTTATATAATATTAATAATATGCTTGGTTACTATAGGAAATAGAGGACTCAATATCATTTATAAGTCAAGACATAAATAAACTGGTACAAAATAAAGTAAGTTCAGTTAGGGTTTATATATATATATAGTACAGAAACCCTGATCCATGGTATTTTTTCAAAACAGCTAGGAGAGAATTTATGTCTTTATAATTTTTTTTCAATACATGTACATGTAATTACATAGTGTAAAAAGTGTGAGCTGATTCTGATCAAAATTGGATGTTTTAGAGTTGCTCAAAAATCTGGTTAAAGTCCCTATAGCAAAATTACACCAAAATTGAAATGAAGAAAATTCTGTATTTTTATATTTTTTCCTTTACATATAAACTGTGTCATGTAAAAGTTTGAACTGATTTCAAGCAAAATTGAATTTTTATGAATTTTAAAGTTCCAAAATCTGGCTTGAGACCGTAGAAACAGCTATGGGAAAATTTTCAATTTTTGTAATTTTTTTGTACATTTACATGTTCTAATGTTTCATTTTTCAAATGCCATGCACCACAGTTCAGTGCTTGTCAGCTCAAAAAAGTGTGCTGTTTAGCTCACTTAGTGCACTTTGTGGGAATCCCTGAGTTTAGTGTTGTTATTTAATTACTCTTGATTTATTATTTCAATAAGAATATGTCAACCAGTGATGTATTGAAACAGCTCAATGATTAATATGTATCAGATTAAAATTATTAATGAATCATTACAGTCATTAATATCTAAGTCTAATAAACCAAGAATGCCTACACTAACTGGATTAAACCTAGCATCTAATATCATTGTAAACTGAAGTGAAGGATGTACTATAGAAATTATTCCAGTCTGTGGCTCTACACAACTATGTATTACCAGTTCAGCTCCTTTACTAATGTTGTTACTATTTTTTATATTTTTATTTCATTTTCTTTGTAGAACAATAAGGTAATGATGTCTTATTTATGTAATGCTATACCAATTTTGAATACTTCTACTTTTGTTGGAGCTACTGAAAAGATTTATGATCCAGATCTTGTTTTCAAGTGCCTTTGTTATGCTATTAGCAGAATGGCATCTTGTCGTACTATCATGCATCGTTGTCCTCATAAAGAAGCAGTTCCAGCTCTAACAGCAACAGTTACTGATATGTTTTCCAATTAATTAATAATGTTATTTTAATGAATCTATCATTATAGTCACTTCATTCATGCAGTTTGTCAATATTTCAATGATTTCATTTATTATTAGCCACTGTCATTGTCAAATACTACCTGTACAGCATAGGCAAGCTGTATCTTCAATCCTCTTGACACAGCTATTTCATTGCTATATTAAAATAACTTACTCCTAACATTTTTGTTTTAATCCTAATGGATAATTTGTTAAAGATTTTAACTAATTATGGATGGAGCTAACTCGCCTACCTTTGGTTTTACATTAGCAATGCTCACGAGAGTATTGTAACCACTGGTTAATTAATTTTTTAGTAAAAACCAGAAAGGCTGCTCAAGTGATTCTAATGTAGTACAGTGTGTAGTGAAATATCTGTTAGAGGACTGTATTTTTAGGGCAACACTTCTTGGACACGATCTGTACTTCACTTTGACAACTGTCTAAAAACTTCTCTTCTTCTCAAAATCAATAATAAGTACTGAGCATGCGCAGTACCACACACAAATTAACTATGAATAATAAATGATAATACATTTAATTCACGACATCCTCCCCACCGTTGACTACTCAGTCAACCCACATAATTGCACTATACAATAATAATAAGTAATACACACATCAATAATAAACTTAGTACTTGGTTAATTTCAGTACAATCTCGCAATGATCTTGTCTCTCGCTTCAATGGAGGCAGCTCTCTTAGGACGATCTCTAATTACAGGAGTCGATTCAGGCAATATTTCCTCTTCGTCGGTGGTCGTCTCCATATCTACTTGAGCCTCATTCATTTCTATGGGAACTGAAGTTGAGACACTCTGCTCCATATTAGTTGAGATATCACCTTCATCAACATGAATTTCAAGGGGAATTAAGTGTTGAATGGGTCGGCATAAGAGTGATGCCTTATTACGAGAGAGTACACACACAACTGCTCCTCGAATCTCCTTATCTCTACCAACTATTAACTCCTTGATCCTCCCTAATTTCCAGAATCCTCTAGGAGTGTTCTCATCATGAATAATGACAATATCATCAATCTTAACTTCTTTGGAATGACAACGTTGTCTTTGCTTATTATATCTCTCACGAAGGTTGAGAATGTATTCTAATTTCCATCTAGACCAAAACTTATCTAGAGTTAGATGTAAGTGTTGTAACCTTTTATTGAGAATAATCGATGAGCTTTCAGGAGTATATTCTTCAGTAACACGACGGTAACACAACTGATCCGGCAAATTAGACAATCGTCGTCCAACTAATAAATGAAAGGGAGTCAGTGGTTCCTCCAAATCTGAAGAGGATATGTAAGAGAGAGGGCGAGAATTAAGTACAGATTCTATCTCTGTCACTGCTGTAAGTAGTTCATCATAAGTAAATTTAGCACGACCAATAGTTTTGCGGAGACACTTCTTAGTTAGCCCAATCATTCTCTCGAATATCCCTCCCCACCACGGAGCCTTCTCAATATTAAACGACCATTCTATCTTCATTCCAGTTAAGTACTCAGAGACGGAATCATCAGTCACAATTTTCTGTAATACTCGAGCTGCTGCCTTAAATGTACTTCCGTTATCAGATATCATACGAAGTGGTAGTCCTCTCCTAGAAATAAAACGCTTCAGAGATCTAAGAAAAGAAGGAGTAGATAAATCAGACACAATATCAATATGCACAGCCCTTGTTATACAACAAGTGTATAAGCAAATCCAAACTTTTTGTTCACAACGGGCTTGTGCAGGGTAATCAGGTTTCACATACAAGGGACCGGCATAATCCACCCCTGTATAACTAAATGGGGGATGCTCGGTTACCCTAAATGAAGGGAGAGGAGGAGGAGGTGGAGCTTTATAGGCTAAACCTCCATACCTTCGACATAAATTACAGCTAGAAATCACAGTCTTTACAGACAGTCTAGCCTTTACTACCCAATACTTTGCTCTCAGCTCAGTCAAGGTTTCCTTGACTCCATTATGAAAGACTCTAGCATGAGCTGCTTTAATGGTGAGCAAGGTATAAGGGTGCTCTCTAGGCAGTACTATTGGATGTTTGGTGGCATAGGAGAAGTCAGAATTACTGATTCTTCCACCACACCTCCAAATACCCCTTTCATCACAAAACAAATCCAACTGTTTCTTTAAGGATTGGAAATCCTTTCTTATTACCAGTGCATCTTGCACTTCTAACAGCCAGAGTTGTTCAGCCTCAATCAAGGCTTGTGACTTAGTACTTCCATCAATTACTCTTTTCGATAATTTGTAAATAAACAGTATCAACAATGATGTAACTTTCAATAATTTAGTCAAATTTCTATAATTATTAATATTCATTATAGTGGCAATATTTGATTTCTCAATTACGAGTAAGCCACACTCATTCTGTTGTTGTGATTTTAACTCTGATACACAATCTGAGGGAATGTCTGGAGGTATCAAGGTATGATCTCCTATTTCACAACTGTACCAAGGTGGTCCATTCCACCACAATGAACATTCCCCTAAATCAGCAGGTGATATACCTCTGGATGGCAGATCTGCTGGGTTGTCCTTGCCAGGGCAGTGTCTCCAGCAGCTAATTGGAACTAGACTTCTTATTTGAGTGACACGGTTATGGACAATGGGTTTCCAGTCTTTATCAATACCTTTAATCCAGAAAAGAGCTACCTGGGAGTCTGTATAGCAGACTGGCCTTACAAGAGACAATTCCATACCCAGGCTATTAGTTATAGTTCCAATAAGTCTAGATAAAAGGAGAGCTCCCAATAATTCTAACCGGGGTATAGTCTGGGTCTGTATTGGAGCTACTCTAGTCTTGGAAGCAAGTGTCTAGTGATAGTCATTTCACCACTTCTCATTCTTAAATACACTACTGCAGCATATGCTACAGATGATGCATCACAAAATCCCACTAGTTGAAAACTCTCTACATCATCTAATGACTGAGTGTAGCACCGTGGAATTCTGATAGGCAGGCAACTTACAAACTCTTTCACAAGCAATTGCCACCTCTCTAACAACTTACCAGTGAGAGTCTCATCCCACTGTACCTTTGCACGACAAAGTTCTTGAACCAGGACCTTAAATTTAATAATAACAGGTGCAGCGAGCCCAAGTGGGTCGTAGAACCTGCCAGCAAGGCTAACAATGTGCCTCTTCGATGGCTCTGACTCATTTGCCTTGTCAAAAATATTACAAAAATTCAAAACAATATCATCTGAGATAACATTCCACAAAACCCCCAAAATCTTCTTTTCTCCCTCAGAGCTCTTCTGAGAGTTCTGAAGCACGCTTTGGGCATATGTTTTCTCTTTATTATCAACTATGCTAGGACCTGAAACTCTCCTTTCTAGTAAATCAATTTTCTTTTGTAAGACCTCACTATTTGAACAAAATTTACATAAGTTAAAGCCACCTTTCTTCATCAAGTCCTTAGCATCAGAATAAAGTAAAAATGCTTCTTCTTCTGTTTTGGCTCCAGTAACCAAATCGTCTACATAAAAGGATCTAAGAAGCTTATTGACTAGCTTTCGATTAGATTCAATGAGACTTTCTAAATGAAATTTGATTGTAGCATTGAGCAAAAAGGGGCTAGAGGTCACACCGAAAACTACACGTGTGAACCTTAAGACTATAAAAAAAGGTGGGTCCTTGTACAAATCATCTATCCATAAAAATCGTAAAACATCTCTATCCCTTTTATCAATTGTTATCATTAAAAATGCTTTTTCTATGTCAGCAGCTAAAGCTACCTTATGCACACGGAACCTCAACAAGATTTCCATTATCTTCTGATTAAATTTGGGTCCGGTGTGTAGGCAAGCATTAAGAGAAGGACCATTCTCACTAGCTGACGCATCATATACTATACGCACCTTGGATGTTTCCCTATCCTTTCTGATGATAGCATGATGAGGCAAGTAGTGCACTCGGTTGCCATCCTGACGTGAGGGATCTTCTATCAGCTCAACAATACCCATCTGTTTTTGATGCTGGATGACACGATCATATTCAATCAGCAAATCTGGAGTCTTCCTCAAACGCTTCAAAAGGCTAAGTAATCTTCTCTTACTAAGTGAAAAATTATCTGGCACAGAAGCACATGGATCTTTCCAAGGCAAAGACAACTTATAACGACCATTACAAAGTGATATGTGTGAACTCAACTGCTCATACACTGCCTCCTCGGTATCGACTATCCCCAGAGATTCCAAATCCCAGAAGGACCGGAGCCTCTTATCAATCTCTCTATTAGTGGGACCTGTCTCTACCTTAAGTACATGTGTAATGAGAGCAGCTGAAGAATCATGCATTATGCCAGACATGGGACCAGACAAAACCCATCCAAACTTAGTATATAATGCTGAGGGACCAGAACTAGCTTGAATAACCTCACCGGAGACAACAGACCAATAGTAATCCAGGCCAATCAATATCTGTGGTTCTCCTTCATCTGGTACGGCTAAGTCTAAGTTACTTAGATGCTCATAATAGCGTTTAGAAATCTCAATAGGTGCTGCTGGTATGGGACCACAAATGAGGGGAACTGCTAATAATCGTAGGATTATAGATCCTTCCTCTGTTCGTAAACCAATCTCTACTATATCATATTCTTCCTCTCTCTGTGTAGTTGAACCAAAGGCTGCAATGGACATACTCTTCTTGCTTTTCACCTTAAGTGCCATCTCTTTCTTTAGGTCTTGTGTGACATAAGATCTCTGACTGCCACTGTCAAGGATAACCTTGGCTTCCCTACAGAGAGCTGGATTTGAAGGATTAAATGCTGTCACTCGAACTGTTTGTAACAAGACTGTGTCATTCTCTTCTGCTTGAGAAGTGGAGCTCAAAGAAGTAAAAGGAGGGGCCTCTGGGTTAAGATTAGACACATTCACTTGAAGATTCAATGTCTCTTTTGAGCTCTCACTCTTGACAGCCTTGAGACATATACTAGGGTGGTGTTTACTTTTACACTCAGTACACTTGGGTGGCGCTCTGCAATCTCGTACACGATGTCCCTTACGTAAACAATTAAAGCAATAACCACGACCCTTCAAAATTTGTTTCCTAGGCTCTATTAAAACGACATTCTTGCATAAACTAGGCTCATGCTTCTCACTACAGTAACAACATTCAGAATGACCACTATCCTTAGTAGTCAAAGTAGTTGCGGTTGCAGATTCTCTCTTAGTTCTAGTATAAGCATTTGAGCTCTTGTGAATTATGCCTGCTCTCTCACGAGCCTCTATTTCTTCCAATAATGCTGCAAGTATGGGGTTGAATTCCCATTCTTTACCAGACATCTTACGACTGATTAAAACTCTCAACTCTTGCGGGAGTTTCCTCATTAGTAAGGGAGTAAGAAGAGCTCCATAAGCACTATGTGCTATTCCTAAGGACCTTAGGCCTCTCACATGAATCTCTACTTTGTCATAGAGTCTCCTTAAAGCCGAAAGATTCTGATTATCTGTCACAGCTTCCAGACCAGTAAAGGCCTCCATATGCTTTGTTATAATCTGTGACTCATCCCCAAACCTCTTCTTGAGTATATCTATCGCTTCTTGATAATTGCTAGAAGTTAGCGATAGACCAGCTACAGCCTCCTTGGCTGATCGTATCAATAAGGATCTCAAATAAGTAAACTTATCAATATCCGATAGATCCCGTCTGTTGTGTATTGCTGACTCAAATGAGTCCCAAAATGTTTTCCATTTGGTATAGTCACCATCAAAAGGAGTTAAAGTCAGCTCTGGTAGCTTGATTCTAGTGGCAACAGATTCAGACGGTGTGTCTCCAACTGTTGGAGAAACACCTCTAGGAGCACCTGAGGGCGGGCCAATGGCCTTGTCTATCTTGAAGAGAGCTGACCTCAAGGTATCCCTGATGACTTCTGCACCTTCAATGTCTGTTTCTATTTCAGCCTCATCCTCTAAGAGGGCTAAGATGCTTTCATCAAGGTCCTTGAGTACAGCCACTTTCTCCGCAAGAGCTGCCCTCAGTTGCTCCAGGCTGTCTCTGTCTAAGGGAGTAGCACCCAGAGCTGTCTCTAATTCAGTAACCTTTCTAGTTACTGTGCCTCTGTGTCCTGATCTGACACTCTTCTTATGAGCAAGTTCAGCCGCCATCTTGTTCCAGACCGCGCCCCAAATAACAAAATGTATGTATACACGTGTCAGTTAAGTATCATTTAAAAAAGAGAAAACTCTGTATTCTGTATTACTGCTACTATCAAACCAACTATTTTAACTGACTCACAATACCAATTCCGCGTAAGTCAGCTATCCAAGTAAAGGTTGGTCTGTCTCTGTGCTCAGCAGTATCGAAACTGACACGCTCGTCGAAGGATCCCTATCAATCGGCTCGTATTTAGCAATAGAAAGCTTCGATCCGGTTCCGTTGGACCAGATGTAGTGAAATATCTGTTAGAGGACTGTATTTTTAGGGCAACACTTCTTGGACACGATCTGTACTTCACTTTGACAACTGTCTAAAAACTTCTCAAAATCAATAATAAGTACTGAGCATGCGCAGTACCACACACAAATTAACTATGAATAATAAATGATAATACATTTAATTCACGACACAGTGCAGTGTAGTGTTAACACCAGTATTTATATGGCCATGGGCACTGACAGTCACAGGATGTTAAATGAAACAGGAGTTTCTGTCTTAATTAAATAAATAAATAAACATATACTTTTAAAAATTTAATTTGTGGTCAATACACACAATCATGTACAGTACATGTACATGTAAGTACAGGACTACATGTAAACATAAATTAATTGTACTCCCCTAACCGCAGTCTTGAGAAAACGTTTGGTAATGGTAGAGCCTCTTGAAACTTCTTCATTTCTGGCAAGGAAACTCCTTCATCTTCATCATCTGGAGCTCCATCTTCCTTGCTTCTCTTCTGAAGACGACTGCATATTCTTCTACATTCATGATTCCAGTGGTAGAGGGATCAATACAAGACTCAACAGGAGGGGAAAGAGAATCGATATTAGGAGGCGAAGGGAATGCTACATGTAAATGTATTTTGCTCATTGGTTGTTGAGGTGATAGATCTCAGATTGTTGGTAGCAGTGTCTTGAGCCTACAAAACGTGCAAGTCACATAATGTTATTATTAACGAAGTGTTTTGAATGCATTAATGTGTGCACAAGACATGTATACATTATTATAAATTGAAAATGAAAAATTGGCTCACTCCGACAATTTCTTAGTCTTCCTTTTGTTTTTCCTCTTGTGACGATATTTAGGAAGGAGACTCACAAGAGACTCATTCTCACCTGAACAAAATGGCTTCCGTGTTGATATAGGTGCCTTTCTCATCTTCAGAACTCTTGCTGCTTGTTTCATAAGCTCTATAGCCATTGATAACAGTCTGAAGTAAGACGTTCTTGGCCTGAAGATAACAGTGAAGCTGGTAGCCCAAGCCGAATAGCTCAGTTTAGTATACACTTGGCCTTCCACCACTATCCAGACCGGCTACAAGTATTTCAGTGCATGGAAATTCTTCATAAGCATGAATACAACTGCCATAAGCAGTCCGATGTAGCAGTGTCACGCTTGCCATCTAAACAAACAAATTTTAAAGAAATAACACCTGCTTGGTCCACAAGACTCATAAAAAGCCGTCGTCCAATAAATTTCCAGCTTTACACTATATAGAAGTTATATTGCTTCGAACAGAGACCTTACATCTCTATTTCTTCTCCACCATTACTCGTTACCATGGTAATATTTAATTTTTTCAATAAATATCATTAAATTTTAATGACCGGAAGTTCCATTCCAATTTCTGGACAATTGTGCTTTTATTTGGCTTTACACTTGCACTTTATAAACACTTAAGTGCATTAACACAGTGCAAAATTTCAGTATTTTAAACAGAAAATTTTTTTATTTTGGCTTCTAAAATGAGAATTATTTACAAGTTCATTTTTCGAACAAATAATCACGTATGAATTCGGTTATTATTATTACAAAACAATACGAGAAAGATTAGAGCCCAATGTTGAAACTGACAAAAGCAACTTCTTTTCAAACTGGATGTTCATGACATAATGCTGCAAAAAAAAAGTGTGGCTGACAAGATTGGAGGGTACAATATGTTGAAAACATAATATGCTGAAATGAGAGCCAGTATTGCCTTTTTGACACTCTCAATTTTGTTCAGCATTCTGCCCTCTATAGTGACATTGTAGGTAGGATTGCTTGTATTAGACAAGAACCTCACAAGACAAGGTTCTAAAAGAACAATGGCCTTTACCATAAAAATTTATTGCAATTTAAACTTACTGAAAATGTATATACAATTTGCTTGTCAGTACAATAGGATAACAGAGATTGTAAACACTGCAGGGCAAAAAATCTCTTAAATCTTCAAGTGAACCTAAACCAAAAGCAGAATTATGACACATTTCAATTTAGTGTCTAATACCATCTATATGCTTTAGTCTTTCTTTGTCTGCGCTATAGCTTTGTTCTACTTTCAGCAACCTTTTTAAAGTGGTTTTTTCTTCATCAACATATCTGAGCAATATAGTTAAGACAACATCTTAATTTCTCCATGCTCAGCAAGAACTTTATCACACCACATTGGCCATTCAATCATTACATCAGTTACTTCCAAATCTGTTACCTGCTTCAGTTCTTGTTCCAACTGTAATATAAAACTTCAACTATAATTATACAGAACATAAAATGAACCTTACATAGTTGATTCTGTCTAAACAAGGGAATTTGTCAATGACCTCAGAAACAGAAGGTTCCCTTAATATCCAGTTACGCCTGTTCGGGAAAGTCTTCATCATCAAATCCTTTACAACTGAATGGCACTCCATTCCTTTTTAATTGCTGAAACCATACCCTCGTACTCATCATCCTCTGAAAGTTCTTCAATGCCTTGTTTCTTAGAACTAATTAGCAATGCTTTATTATGTTCATAAAGACCAATACAGTTACCTCCTTTTCGTAGTATCATTACCAGTCCTCCCATTTTTGAATTTCCACCGCAGCTGCTGCTTCCATGTATTCTATGATTCAAATTCAGAAATTCAATATTTCTGCTGGTACATATACTTGAAAGAGCCATGCAATTAACGTGTGAAAGTGACATAATCACCATACTTATGAACTCATTAAAGTTTTCATATGGGCGGCTTTATGCATTATTCACATAGAGCGGAACAATAGAAAAGTGTATTATCCATGTGTGCAAAATTCAAACTTGCATATGGATATTTTGGATCTTCATCTTGCAGTTTCGGAAATTTATGTATGAGTAGCTGACTAACAGCACTATAGTCCTTCGAAGTTGGTCTGTACGTGTTCTGTATCATTCTATAACTCAAGATAAGGATATCATAAGGTATAAATGCAATACCTTGAATAGAGGGTATTCACTATTTTGGTTCTCATTGACCGTCCCAAAACTTCTACTTCCCCACTCAAAAACCTACTGACTCTTGGGCTCAAGTTGTCTGGAATTAATGCTGAGAGCCACTCTCCACTTTGCTGCAACACTTCAGTCCCCTGGCTTTGTACTGCAATTGCTGGTTCTGCTGAAGCAGTGGATGTCTCATGAGAGGAAGCGGAGTTTTGCTGCTGCTACTGCTGCAATAGAAATACAATCAGAGTATATACAATTATTGAAGGATACCTCTCCGGTCTTGTCTTTTCCATTTAACTTCTGGATATAGTGCCATATCTTGCGATAAATCCCCGTCGGTTGTATCATTTTGCATAGATCTTCTTTTGTCA